TATGGGATTCTCATAGTTCTTCTTGGCTTCTCCTGTTAATCGAAGCTGGAGAATATATGATGCTGTTTCCAAAGTCAGATCATTTGTCTGTGTAAGATAGTCTGATTAAGATGGGATTTTAAGTAAACTCGGAAACTCTAGTGGAGTTTTCCTGTGGTTGGTTTCTGATTAGCAGAGGCTTAAGATATGTTTAGTATGTAAGTGATATTTGGGAAAACCATGATTTCTGTGATCAGGCTATTGGAATAAACCGAAAGTTCATCATCATTTTCTTGAGTTTTGTATTTACTACAGCTTTTTAAGGAGATGACAACAAGACCAGTCAGGATCCAGGAATGCTTCCTACAATCAATTAGAACCTACCTATTCTTCTGTAAGTGTCATCTGTTTCTGTTGAAACTTGTTGTAGAAAAAGCGGAAACGGTAACTACAGCGCCAGGTCCTTGTGATTTCGTAAACGGGTGTAGATCAGAAGTCTTGGTCTTCTTGGTTTGTTTCTGACTAGTTTCAGAATATTTTGTGTTTTCCCATAGAAAATAAGCAAGAATTTCTGCGAACAAGGGTTTAAGCATTAAAAAAAGGTTATTGGGTGGACGTTGTTGCGTAGAGGAATTATAATTTTATTCTTGATTGAATGATTTTGTCTTCAGACTAATACTATTTATTGACGCAGTTGTCTCTATGTATATTATCCATTGCCTAATGAAACAGAGTTATGCAATGGACAATTCTTTCGATTTTCCCCTCCTCGAGTCCATCTACTTTCCAATGTTATCTATTTTCTTGAATCTGCTTTTGTTTCTAATTATGTCTGGATCCTGGGTTTACAAGAAAGGGGTGGGTTGTGAAGATAATGATGGTGTCATGTATGAGAGGTCAAAGAAAACGTCTTTAACTTACAATAAACTGGTCGTTATATGTTGTGTGACTTTGTCAGCCTTAAATACTGTATTGCTGTTAAATTGTTTATACCTGCATACAAATGGTTGGAATCTCAGCGAACTGATGAATCTCTTAGATCTTCTGTTTGCAGCCCTTTCTTGGGGTTCCATCTCTTTCTACCTGTATACCAATGGTCTATCCACCGATTTTCAGAATCTTAAGTTTCCATTTATGCTTAGAGTTTGGTGGGTTTTCTATTTCATAGTTTCTTGCTACCGTCTTTTGGTAGACATTGCTCTATACAAGAAGCAAGAACTGGTGTCAGTTCACATTTTAATGTTTCATGTAGTGGCCGTTAGCATGGGGTTGTTTCTCTGCTATTCATGTTTGCAGAAGCAAGGAGAAGGAGAAAGGATCGACCAACTCGAAGAACCCCTATTGAATGGAGCTGAATCTAGTGCGGCTACTAGTGTGCAGTTGGATAAGGCCGAAGGGGATGATGAAGTTGTTACACCTTTTTCCAACGCTGGGTTTCTAAGCCATGTGAGTTTCTCTTGGATGAGTTCTTTGATTGCCTTAGGAAATGAGAAAATCTTAGACAGCGAGGATGTACCTCAAGTTGACAATAGTGACAGAGCTGAGAAACTATTTAGGATATTTAGGAGTAGGCTTGAATGGGACGATGGTGAAAGAAGGATCACCACATTTAAGCTTATTAAGGCACTCTTCTTTTCAGTGTGGCGAGATATTGTCTTGTCAACTCTGTTTGCTTTTGTCTACACGATATCTTGCTATGTTGCACCGTATCTCATGGATACTTTTGTTCAGTACCTGAACGGTCAAAGACAATATAAAAACGAAGGGGCTGTTTTAGTGACAACGTTCTTTATTGCTAAGCTCGTGGAATGCCAAGCGCGGAGGAATTGGTACTTCAGGTTGCAGAAAGCTGGGATTGGAATGAGAGCGGTCCTGGTTTCAATGATCTACGAAAAGGGCTTGACCCTTCCCTGTCACTCGAAGCAAGGACACACTAGCGGTGAGATCATAAATCTCATGACAGTAGATGCAGAGAGAATCAGTGCTTTTAGTTGGTATATGCATGATCCATGGATACTTGTCTTACAAATCAGTTTAGCCTTATTGATCTTGTACAGAAGCCTTGGGCTAGGATCAATTGTAGCTTTTGGTGCAACTTTTTTAGTCATGCTGGGAAATTTCCCCTTGGCAAAGTTGGAAGAGAAGTTTCAGGGAAATTTAATGGAGTCTAAAGATAATAGGATGAAGCAAACATCGGAGGTCTTACTGAACATGAGGATTCTTAAACTTCAGGGATGGGAGATGAAGTTCCTTTCTAAGATTCTTGACCTTAGACGCATTGAAGCAGGCTGGCTTAAGAAATTTGTGTACAACTCGGCAGCTATCAGCTCTGTTCTGTGGGCTGCACCTTCTTTCGTGTCCGCAACAGCTTTTGGTTCTTGTATGCTTCTGAAGATTCCTCTTGAATCGGGAAAGATAATAGCTGCTCTTGCAACTTTTCGAATTCTGCAAACTCCGATATACAAACTTCCTGATACAATCTCGATGATTGTTCAGACAAAGGTATCTCTTGATAGGATCGCATCTTTTCTTTGTCTTGATGACTTGCAGCAAGATGGTGTGGAGAGACTACCTAGTGGAAGTTCAAAAATGGATGTGGAAGTCAGCAATTGTGCTTTCTCTTGGGATGAATCTTCTCCCATCCCGACGCTGAGAGACATAAATTTCACAATCCCTCATGGCATGAACATTGCTATTTGTGGTACTGTTGGTTCGGGGAAATCAAGCTTACTCTCATCCATACTGGGTGAAGTTCCGAAAATATCCGGAAATCTTAAGGTTTGTGGAAGAAAGGCATACATTGCACAGTCGCCTTGGATCCAGAGCGGCAAGGTTGAAGAAAACATTCTGTTTGGTAAGCCGATGCAAAGAGAATGGTACGAAACGGTGCTTGAAGCGTGTTCTTTGAATAAGGACTTGGAGGTACTTCCGTTTCGTGATCAGACAGTAATTGGGGAAAGAGGCATCAATCTAAGTGGTGGACAGAAGCAACGGATACAGATTGCACGTGCTCTTTACCAAAACGCAGATATCTATCTGTTCGATGACCCTTTTAGTGCAGTAGACGCTCATACTGGATCACATCTCTTCAAGGTAAAAACCGTTTTCGTAATTGCTTCTGCTATGTATTCTGGTATGATCTCTCACGCTTATCGTTTCTCTGTTACAGGAAGTTGTGCTGGGGCTTCTGAGAAACAAGACAGTCATATACGTCACTCATCAACTTGAATTCCTGCCTGAAGCTGATCTTATACTGGTTTGGGACTTGTCCGCTCTATCATCTTTCCAATACATTATCTAATCACATATTTATGATATCAAGATAATCATTTTGGTAGGTCATGAAAGATGGAAAGATAACACAAGCGGGAAAGTACAATGAAATTCTTGACTCAGGAACCGATTTCATGGAACTTGTAGGAGCTCACACTGATGCCTTAGCAGCAGTAGAGTCATATGAAAATGGATCTGCTTCAGCACAATCAACTACAAGCGAAGAAAACAAAGTTTCCAACGACGATGAAAAACAGGAGGAAGATTTGGCTACCCCGAGAGGACAACTAGTTCAAGAAGAAGAGAGGGAGAAAGGCAAAGTTGGGTTCACTGTATACCAAAAGTATATGGCACTGGCGTATGGAGGTGCACTTGTGCCTGTTATATTGGTCGTACAGATTCTCTTTCAGATTCTAAACATTGGGAGCAACTATTGGATGGCTTGGGTAACTCCTGTTTCGAAGGATGTGAAACCTCCAGTGAGTGGCTCGACATTGATTCTAGTCTATGTAGTTCTAGCCATTGCGAGCTCCGTCTGCATACTTGTCAGAGCAATGCTATCTGCAATGACTGGTTTCAAGATAGCTACTGAACTCTTCAATCAAATGCATTTCCGCATTTTCCGTGCTCCCATGTCATTTTTTGATGCCACGCCAATCGGCCGAATTCTGAATAGAGTAAGAACTATCTATGCTAACTCAATGTGTTATTATTATACCAAAAACTGATCCTGCAAACTCCTTTTCTGATCACTGTGGTTTTAATCCTGATTTAGGCTTCTACAGACCAAAGTGCCGTGGATTTGAGACTACCAAGTCAATTTTCAAATGTTGTTATTACTGCTGTAAACATTTTGGGGATTATTGGAGTGATGGGACAGGTTGCTTGGCAGGTCCTTATTGGCTTCATCCCTGTCATCGCTGCATGCACCTGGTATCGGGTATTCTTCATAACACTGACAAACTCAGATTAAAGCTTAGCTTCATACTTTGGCTTGTCGCTCATGAATTCACGATTAGATATTCACAGAGACTTAATGCAATCATTGATACTAACTTTCTTGAGGTTCTCACCTAAGTCTTGATATTGATTTAACAATATGTATGCAGCAATATTACATATCTGCGGCTCGGGAACTCGCAAGATTATCTGGAATAAGCAGATCGCCTTTGGTACAACATTTTTCTGAAACACTTTCAGGGATAACAACTATCAGGAGCTTTGATCAAGAACCAAGATTCCGCAGTGACATCATGAGACTTAACGATTGTTATTCTCGGCTCAGGTTCCATTCCATTTCTGCAATGGAATGGCTCTGCTTCCGCCTTGATCTGCTATCTACTGCTGCATTTGCGCTTTCACTTATTATCTTAGTTTCTGCGCCCGAAGGAGTCATTAATCCAGGTAATTTTGCAGCCTGCATTTCACTTTTTTTTATTATATGGGATCCAATTCATAACTAAATCTCCTCTCTCTGTATTCTACTTCTTAAAGGCTTTGCAGGATTAGCCGTTACATATGCACTCAATCTAAATAGCCTGCAAGCTACGCTAATATGGACACTTTGCGATCTTGAGAACAAAATGATATCTGTGGAGAGAATGCTTCAATACATAGACATCCCCAGTGAACCATCTCTCGTGATTGAATCCACTCGGCCTGAGAAATCATGGCCCTATCATGGAGAGATTACTATATGTAATCTGCAGGTACGATATGGGCCACATTTGCCTATGGTGCTGCGTGGATTGACATGCACTTTTCCAGGAGGCCTGAAAACCGGAATCGTTGGAAGAACAGGATGTGGCAAATCCACTCTAATTCAAACCCTGTTTAGGATTGTGGAACCTGCAGCCGGAGAAATCAGGATTGACGGAATAAACATCTTGACCATTGGGCTTCACGACTTGCGTTCCAGACTAAGTATCATACCTCAAGATCCAACCATGTTTGAAGGCACAGTTCGTAGTAACTTAGACCCTCTTGAGGAATACACTGATGACCAAATCTGGGAGGTTCGTTGGCTCGTTTCTTTCTGTGTCTCTGCAGATAACAAAAGGAAGCTTCTCACAGTATTTTTGGTTTCTCGTTTCAGGCACTCGACAAGTGTCAGCTCGGGGATGAAGTAAGAAAGAAAGAACTAAAGCTAGATTCCACTGGTTAGTATAAACTACTGTCAC